TGTTGTTGTTAAGTGCCATCGAGTCGGGTCCGACCCATAGCGACCCTGTACAGGGTTTCCGAGGGTGTAAATCTTTACGGGAGTAGAAAGCCTCCTCTTTCTCCCGCGGAGCGGCTGGTAGTTTCAAACCGCTGACCTTAAGGCTCGCAGCCCGATTCGTAACCACTACGCTACCAGAGCTCCTTACATGTGTTTTATTTCCTACCATTCAATTGTAAGTTGCTTTTTCAAATACCTATCTTTTTTCTCATTTAACCTTAACATGGGCTGATTTAAAAATATTACTTCAGAAAATAAATATTACAGATAGCATTACTTTGAAAACTGAAAGAAAATGAAAATGCAGTAGAAGATAATTTTAATACAAGAAATGGACTTGACCAATTTGGACTGACATTTTTCCCAAAAAGAATCCACCAATAACCTTTTTAATACAAAGGAATTAAATATACAACTGACAATATTTATGATTCTGTTACCTGCCGGAGCTGGAAAATACCTCCTGTTGGCACATCCTTGGCAGAAATCACTTCTACAGGACAATATTCACCATTCTCGTTCTGTTCCAGGATTTGAACCCAGAATTCTACTTTCCTGGTGACTTCACTCCATCTAGGAAACAGTTGAAGTTCTTGAAAAATCACATATAGTTCTATTTCATGATGTACTGTAGTCAGACAATATGTATTATTGTTTGTTCTTGTTGCTAAGTGCTGTTGAGTTGGTACAACCTGTAGAGTCCCTGTATAGGGTTTCTGAGGAGTGGCTGATGAACTTAAAGGTTCAACCTTACAGTCCAGTGTACTAACCCACAGCACCATACCAGGACTCCACATATGTATTATTAAAACACCATAATATACAAGAACTGTAACTCCAAAGATCAAAATTTCTCTAACTAAAGAAATAAAGGCAGCTTAGGACCTTACACATGAGAATAAATAATAATAAAGATTTAAACAGAATAACTCAGTACAAGCATATGTAGTTGTATGAGCAATAATCAATACATGCAAATTTAGTAAAAAAAAAAAATTAAAAACAAACTTATAATTAGAGATGACTTACATATTGTTACAAAAGGATATGATCATTATAAATCTATTTCAAAGTGGTTACTCAAAACTCAATATTTTAATTGCAAGTACAGTAAATATTAAGGAGCTCTGGTAGCGTAGTGGTTAGGAATTGGGCTGCGAACCACAAAGTCAGCAGTTCGAAACTACCAGCTGTTCCGTGGGAGAAAGATGAGGCTTTCTGCTCCTGTAAAGATTTATAGCCTAGGAAACCCTGTACAGGGTCGCTATGAGTCGGAAGCGACTCCACGGTACGTAACAACAACAGTAAATATTATGCTGTTGTTAGATGCTGTCGAGTTGGTTCCAACTCATATTGACTGTATGCAAAACAGAATGAAACACTGCTCACTCCTATACCATCCTCACAATTGCTGTTACATTTGAGTCTACTGTTACTGCCACTGTGTCAATCTATCTTGTTGGGTGTCTTCCTCTTTTTCACTGACCCTCCATTTTATCAACCATCATGTCCTTCTCCAGGGACTGATCTCTCTTGAAAACATATCCAAAATACAAAGTATATCAATGCTGCCTGCCCCTGTGCCATCTCACAGTTGCTGTTATATTTGAGTCCTCTTTTACTGCCACTGTGTTAATCCATCTTGTTGGCGGTCTTCCTCTTTTTCAGTGATCCTCTACTTTACCAAACATGATATTCTTCTCCACAGACTGATTCCCCCTGACAATATATCCAAAGTACAGTAAAACAGACAGTTTCACCATTATAGCTTATAAGGCATATTCTAGTTATATTTCTTCCAAGGCAGACTGGTTTGTTTAGGCAATCCATGGTATTTTCAGTATTCTTTACCAACACCATAATTCAAATGTATAAATTCTTCTATCGTGCTCAACTTTGACATGCTTATGAGACGACTGAAGATACCACAACTTGAGTCAGGCTCACCTTAGTCCTCAAGCTAACATCTTTGCACTTAACACTTTAAAAATGTCTTTTGCAGCAGATTTGCCTACTGCAATGCATTCAATTTCTTCACTGCTCTTTCCATAGTGTTAACTGTGGATTCAAGCAAAATGAAGTCTTTAACAACTTTCAATCTTTTTTCTCCATTTACCATGATGTGATTGACTCTAGCACAACAGAATGAAACACTACTCCCGCTCTTGTGTTATCCTCACAATTGCTGTTATATTGTTTGAGTAAGTATGGCGAAAGGATACAACCCAGGTGAACACCTTTCCTGATTTTAAACCATTCGGTATATTGTTCTGTTTTAACAGATCCACATACAGGTTCCTCATCAGCACAATGAAGTTGTTCTGCAAGAAGACCCAATCTTCGCAATGTTATCTATAGTTTGTTATGATCCTCATAGTCATATACCTTTGCATAGTCAAAAAAGCATAAACAAACATCTTTCAGGTATTCTCTGCTTTTAGCTAAGATCTATCTGATGTCAGCAATGATAACCCCCATTCCATGTCCTCTTCTGAATTTGACTTGAACCTCTGGCAGCTCCCTGTTAATGTACTGCTTCAACCATTTTTAATTATCTTCAGCAAAATTTTACTTAAATGTAATGTTAATAATTATGTTCACTGATTTTTGCATTCCATTGGGGCACTTTTCTTTGGAATGGGCACGAAGATGGATCTTTTCCAATCAGATGGCCAGGTAGATGTCTTCCAAATTCTTGACACAGATGAGTGAGTGCCTCCAGCACTGTATGTTCATTGAAGCATTTCAACTGGTGAGTCCTCAAGTCTTACTTTTCACCAACGCCTAAAGTGCAGCTTGGGCTTTTCCTTCAATGTCATCTGTTCTTGATCATCACCATTTTTTTTGGCACTGTGACTCTGTGTATTCCTTCTATCTTCTTTTGATGCTTCCTACATCATTCAATATTTTGTCCATAGAATCCTCCAATATTTCAAGTTGAGGACTGAATTTTTTTCTCAGTTCTTTCAGCTTCTAATTTTCCAGTCTTTGCAGATTTTATCATACCTGACTTTGTCTACTTCAGCTGCCCTTTGATATTTTCTGTTTAGTTCTTTGGACATCCTCATTTCTTCCAGCTGCTTTAGGTTCTCTACACTGAAGAAAAAGTTTCAGGGTCTCTTATGATATTCAATTTGGTCGTTTTTTTCTTGATAGATCCCAAAACTCTTCTGATTTGCAGTCATTAGTATCTAATGCATCAAATCTGTTCTTGAGACGATCTCTAAAGTCAGGCAAGATTCATTATTTTAGCTCTCATGGAGTTATTTTAATTTTATTCAGTTCCAGCCTGAACTTACATAATAAGCAATTGATGGTCTGTTCCACAATTGGCCCCTGGCCTTGTTTTGGCTGATAGATATTGAGTTTCTTCACAGTCAATTTTATTCCTGTGTATTCCATCTGATGAGGTCCTTTTATGTTGTTGGAAAAAGTTGTCATGTGATCCCCAGCATCGCTTCTATCACCAAAGTTATATTTTAAAGCACAAATCCTTCCTCTTTGTTTCTAACTTTCACAACCCAGTCACCAATATTTATCAATGCCTCTTAATCACATGCTTGATCAATTTCAGACTGAAGAAGTTGGAAGAATTCTTCAATTTCATCATCACTGATTTAGAGGTTGGTGCATAAATTTGAATAACAGTGGTAAACTGGTCTTCTTTGTTATTGTTGTTGTTGTTGCTACTGCTGCTGTTGAGTGCCATCAAGTCAGTTCTGACTCACACTGACCCTGTATGGGATTTCCAAGGAGTGGTTGGTGGGTTTGAACTGCTGACCCTGCAATTAGCAATACAGTGCTGATACTACCAGGTCTTCTTTATAGGCATATGAATATTATCCTAGCACAGACAGCATTGTACTTCAAGACAGATTTTGAAATGCTACTTTTTACAACGAATGTGATGCCATTACTCTTTGGTTTGTTGTTTCCAGCATAGTAAACCATGTCATTAATTCAAAATGGCCAATACCAGTCCATTTTTGCTCACTAATGCCTAGGATATTGATCTTTATGTGTTCCACTTCATTTTTGATGACTTCTAATTTTCCTAGTTCATCCTTTGTACATTCCACATTCCAATTATTCATGGATATTAGCACCTGTTTCTTCTCCATTTGAGTTACATCCCATCAGCAAATTAAAGCCCTGAAAGTTTTGCTTCATATTAAGTCAACTCTACTCTGAGGAGACTCATATTTTGAGTGCCTTCCAACTTGAAGGAATCATCTTCTGGCACTGTTATGTGGCAATGTTCTGTTACTGTTCATAAGGTTTTCAGTGGCTAACCATCCAAAAGTGATCTGCCTCTCCTCCTTTCTACTCTGAAAGCACCAATGAAGGTCTAACATGTGAGCCCCTGCTGGTATTTAAAATATTGGTGGCATAACTGCCAGCATCACAGAAATATGCAAATCATCTTTCATTAGATCAACATGAGAATCAAGCAAAAATTCTCAACTTTTTTACTAAAATACTTTCTAAATGAAAAATAACAATATCTAGTTTACTTTTATAATCAGATTAAAAAAAACACCTAAAAATAGGACATTTCTGGTTGCATTTAAATTGTAATGAAATCCTGTTTAATAAATAAATCTACCACCTTTCATCAGTGGTGCTAACTGTGAAGAGCTGTGAACTAAAGACAAAAGTCAGTAAATTTAAATATCAGGATGGAACTTGATCTACTCTATCTACAGGGGATTCAATAGAAATAATTCACAATGATAAGTTACTTATTCCCTAAAAAATTCATTTTGCATCATTTCTGGAAAGACGGTTAGAGTCCCCATGATGAGGCCTCCACTCATTTGTCCACCTGATCTAGCCACAGGTGACCTTTGCATAATTGGATAGAGTGGGAAGAGAACAACGCAGAAGGAGTCCAGCTCACTAGTGCCCATTCATTGGTTTGCCTTTGGCTATACTGCACCGGTTGCTACTGGTGGGATCACTGGCTATGCAAAAGCAGGTAACACCCAACTCTCACCGCTGGGCTCCCCCAGGGAGGGCTAGCAAGTCTGAGTGCTTATCATCTCTCTCAGAATCCCAGGAATGTTTGGGTTTTCCTAGCTACATCTGGAACCTTGACTGGCATTATGGGAATGAGATTCTACAACTCTGGAAAATGTATGCCTACGGCCTTAATTGCAGATGCCCGTTGGCTAATGGTTGCCAAGCTTGGAGTTAATATGCTTACTAGACACCAACCGTAGTCATGCCCCGGCTTGGACACAAGAAGAATTTAAGATCTCCAAACTTCCACTAGTTTTCATGTCAGAGAAATAAGCTTGAGAGTTAAGTCTCTTCACACAAGTTTTGACTCAAAAAAATTAAACAACACTGAACTTAGTAGGGAAAAATATGTTATTACAGCCTTACACAGCCATGGACTATATATTCTAAGAGTGTATTGTTATACTCTCATACAATATGATTTTTGTGTATTGATGTGATTTCTTCTTTCTGTAACTATAGATAAATTCTGATAAATTCTCAGTGGGCAAAATGGTGGGTGTCAACATTTGGAGTGTGAAGAAGAGGAAAAGTGTGAAGAAAATCTCCTAGGAGATTCCAGACAGCCTTCCATTCCTCCTGTTAGCGCACAGACATCATCTGAAATGATGTCACATGAAATGGAAATAAATTTTTACTGTAAAAAAATTTATTTTTCTGTGTTTTCTAAGCTTCTTCTCATCACTCTTTAAAGTCCACCTCCCTAAATAAGTTTAACCATGCTATTCATACCCTAGAGAAACACCACTTATGTCTGGAATACTTGTAATGTCCAGGAGATAGTAATCTTTATAAAATGGTAATATTCAGTATTTTTTAAAAATCATAAATGGAATCATATAGATATCTAAAAGTTACCTGTCCCGGAGACTACGTGTTTTTGCTTGTATAATGCCCAAATCCCACAGGGCTGGGTTTTTCCGAGGATCTGTCATCCTATGGCCATATACTTCAATTGCCAATGCCCCGTCTGAAAGATGCTCAATAAAATCTTCAGTAATGTTAACAGAAAACTCCTGAAAGAAAGTAGTTCATTACAAAAAACACGTTCTGGAAATGTTCTGAGTAGTTTATTCCTGTCCTTATATACTTACTTAATCATGATGGAAGAAATAGCAACCAGAAATCTTTAGCTGTCTACTATCTAGCATCCATAATGAATATTAAGATACTCTGAGGTTCTGAGTTTAAAAATAGCTTTTTACTATAAAAATCTATTATGTAAGGTCAGCATTACATTCTGTTTTGTCAGTAATGATTTAGGAGCTATTTTTTAATAAGTACAGATAACCAAACTAAGTATGACATCAATGATGTACACAAAGTTATTACATGTACCAATGTAGCAGTTTTGGAAAAAACACTTTTTTCAGTTTTAAGAAGCTATCTAGCTACAATAATAGGAGAGAAAGAAAACAATGATTATCACTGTAACAAAAATCATAACAATAAGAAATTTCTCCGAATCTGTCCATATTCACAAAACAAAAAGTTAGAAAAAATGAACTTGTGCTGATATATTTAAAACTGGATTTTGAATTTTTTTTACTAATAAGAATTAAATTCTTAAATAGTTTCTTAAAGAAAATCACTGAATCTTCTTTCTCTGTGTCGCTCTGTCTTTCTCTAAAGCATTCTTTTAAATGCTTTAACTCTTGAAAAAATGAGATGAATCAAATGTGGTCTAATAGAAAGGAAAAAAAAAAAAAAAAAAAAAGAAACCTGAGACTCTTGACTCTGCTAATTCCAAGTTATATAACTTTAGGAAATCTGACCTCTTTGAACTAATTTCTTCAGCAGAAAACATAAGAACTACCATCAAATACAACTGTGATACAGATTAAATTCAAGAATAACTAACACATTTATCATAGTTTGTTGTTTGTTATTAAGTACTGTTGAGTCAATTCTGACTCATAGCAACCCTGTATAGGGTTTCGAAGAGCAGTTGGTGGATCTGAACTACCAATCTGTGGTGAAGCAGTCTAGTACCTGTCCTACAGAGTCACACCAGGACTCCAGCATAGTGTGAGGTGCTCAGTAATATTAGTATTTCTCTGTTTTCTACTATCCTTGATTCCTCTAAAACACTAATTTCTTGTTCTTTTTAGGTTACAATTCTCCAGTAATGTAATACAAAATACGGATTCTCTTTGGAAGTGAGCACACATATATAAATATACATATACTCACAGAAGAGTTCACTTTTGATTTTGAAGGAGTGGAATATATTAACATGTTAGTTACTGTCTCTAACCCTATTTTAATAAATTCTTCTCCAAGACTTAATTGTTGTTAAAGTGCCATAAAATCAGTTCTGACTCATAGTGACCCTGTATAGGTTTTCCTAGACAGTCATTCTTCAGGGGAGCAGAAGGCCTCATCTTTCTCCCATGGAGTGCCTGGTGGATTCAAAGCACCAACCTTGCAGTCCACAGTCCAGTGTTTATCCTACAAAGCCACTGTCTCCCAAGACATTACTATTGTTAGTAAGAGCCACTGAGTTGATTCCAACTCATAGTGACCCTGTATAGGGTTTCCAAGGAGTAGCTGGTGGGTTTGAACTACCAACCTTAGGGCTAGTTGTTGTTGTTAAGTGCCACTGAGTCATTTTCAATGCATAGCTACCCTGTATGGGGTTTCCAAGGAGCAGCTGGTGAGCTTTAACCCCTGACCTTGCAGTTCAAACCAACCTTGTGGTCCAGTGCATTATCCTACAGTGCCACACCAGGACATTATTATTACCAGATTACTGAAAGAAATGATTCTTTTTGCATTTTGTTTTGTTGGTTTTTTTTAAGTTTTTATTGTGAACTATGTGTGTTAACATGGGAGAACACCAGCTTTACATTCATCCTATCATGTTTTGTTTCATTGCAATAATTACAATCTCCTCCATGCATCATCATTGTTTTGTACTTTTGTAAGTAACTTAAGCATTTTTGTAATTTTGTAAGTAATTTAAAATCTGATGAAGGCAAACTTACATTACAATGATCAAAGACCACCATGCACTGAGGTTCCTTACTGACAGGGGAAGATGAGGTATCTACTTCAGGTGCAACTCTGACTGGTTCCTGTTGATCCCAGAAGTTATATTTGCAGGATACAAAGTGGGACAGATGCTGTGGCAACCCAGTAGCTTGTAATATTTTAACCTGAGGGGAGAAAAAGGCTTTGTTGTTGTTTCCTAATCAGAAAGTTCCAAGATACACTTTGACTCAAGAGGTGCTACTCCTGACTCTGTAACTGTTCATTTATGTTTGACAAATCACATACACTCTGGGACTGTAGTTCTTCCACTGGTAACTGGATATAAAAACTGGCATATTTACTAAGAGGCTTGACACAGGGCAATAAACCACTTAGACTATAAGGTGGATATTTATAAGCAGTAAAGAAGCTGATGAAGAACATTTAAATTATAATAATAGACAGAAGAATAAACTTCTCAGACATCAACACCACTTAAATATATGAATTTGACTAACATCAGAAGAACAGACCAAGACGGTTAAAAGCATGCTGAACAAAAGTGAAAATCAACTATTTGTTAATAAACCACCAAATATTCAGAAAAGAGCAAAACACTGATAATTTTAAGTATAAAAGTGAGCAAGGTTCTCGTTGGCCAGTGGTGTGGCGAGACCTGGGGACTCTTAGGCCCAGAGTCAGTGACATATCCACAGAGGACTAGGTGGAGAGTGAAGCGTCCAGCTGATAAGAAGAGAGGGCATATGTACAAGAACACCCACACTTGCAGATAATACCCATTTGACCTGGCTTCAAAGACTGGATGATCAGAGCTCAACCAGAAGAAGAAACAAGAGGAAAAAAAGAGTAATCTGATACAATTTGATGAACTTGACCTTCACCTATGGATGCAGTGGCTCAAAAGAGGGAACAAATCTTTACAGCAAGGATCATTTCCAACCCCTCCATACACAGAGTAGACAGGGATGGGCAACTTGGACATTGGCTACCCAAAATGGGGGCCTACAAAGGCAAGAAGTGACTGGCTTACAAGCTTTTAAGAAGGAGCCTAGATCCAGAGGGCACGGAGGAAGGTAGAATCTCCACTGAGTAGTGTCCAATCTGTCAGGCAGGGCTGATGAAAAGAGATGCGGATAGGTCTCTCGTGATACAATAGTGAATAATTGTTATCAGGACTGACTGTGAGGGTCAGAAATGTAAAGGTAGATGTTTTGTAGCCAAAGGAGGGGAGTGACTGACTTTGCAGTCTAGGAGCAGAGGTCCTTGGGACCATCTAGGGAGAAGAGTAGAGAGTGGGACCCTACTCAGAGAAGCAGTGATGCCAGAGATGGAGGCAGAGACGATGACGTGGAGAGATGGAGCAGCTGGGGACTTTAGACTCAGAGAGGGAGAGGGACTGTGTGCTGCTGACTGGGGGGCCAAGCTTGCAGGGTATACCCTTTGGTTGGATGATGATGCATGGAAGGGATTTTAACCATGGCAGTGAAACGATATACGACAGGATGAATGTAAAGCTAATGTTCTCCCATGTAAACTATCACATAATTCACAATAAAACATTTTTAAAAATAAATAAATAAATAAACCCAAAAACTGATAATCTACTCTGTAAACTTTCACTCAGTTCCCAATAAAAAAGTTAAGAAAAAAAAGTGAGCAAGGTTCTCAATAAGATATATTACATGCTAATAAGGCAATTTTGGAGGGAACTTTAAAGGCATTGAGAATGTATTATTTAAAGATCTGGTATAAGCCTATCCACATACTGTAGCAACAGCAAAATTAATTAAAGGTGGTGAATGTTTATCACTCCGTGCCCTCTGGATCTAGGCTCCTTCTTAAAAGCTTGTAAGCCAGTCACTTCTTGCCTTCTGGATGTGGTCTCTATTTAGAGAAGAGAGGCATACCAAAGAAATGTGCTCTAGACATGGAGCATAGGGTTTTGTGATAACAAAGTGAGTGCATATATATTTGATCAAATCAGAAGTCTCCAGAAGAAATGCCTATCACAGGTTTCAAGGACGTGAAATATTCTTAATATTTCTTTTGGCCAGAGAATCAAGTTGATATTTTAGTTGGAGTTTTTGCTGTTGTCATATTCTAAAACTCCTTCAACAACTATGCAGTTAAATGTAATTAGGATCTTTTAACTGATTAAGCTAGTTTACATGATCAAGCTTTAATCATTAATTATATTCTTAACTTAGTCGTTTCTTGCATGCTGTATGATTTACTCTACCTCCAGTGCATAAATAAACTTGAATATATGGCAAATATTGATATAGTTCAGCAACCACAAGGAATTATCAGAAGCCTTGTTCTACTGAAATAGATTTATAAATATCTACTGACACACTGAAAAATAAAATAGCTTAGTATTTCAAGAAACGTTAATAATGACAAAAACATAAAATCAAATGGTTTTATTTTCACCCATGCTGTTGTTGTTGTTGTTGTTGTTGTTAGGTACCACAGAGTCAGTTCAGACTCATAGTAACCCAATGCACAACAGAACAAACACTGCTTGGTCCTGTGCCATCCTCATAATCATAAGCAACAAATGAGAATTCCAATCAGTATTCATTTTTTGCTTTGATTTCAACATGAGTTCAAAGCATCAATATAGTAATTCCCAGATATATTGTGAAAGACAGTATGATTGACCCAATGCATTCCTCCAAACCAAATGGAGCAATCAGAATTCTGATGTTAATTTTTCATTAAATTTGGAAAACCATCACTTTTTCATTCAAGTGTTTAAGAATATTTTACAATTTTGGAGTATACATATCTAAATTAAAATATCTGCCACATACTAGCTTATATCCGTTCACGAATTACTTAAATTCTGTGAAGTTAGTTTTCTTTGTTCTAGCAGTGTATCCAGATTAAGACGGACTAGGATGAAAATATTGCCAAGCTAATTTTGAAAATCAACCAATAAACACTATGGATCACAAGGGTCTGATCCACAACCATGCAGAAGGATGGTGATGACTGGACAGCAATTTCATTTCAGTGTACAAGGGGTTGTCTTGAGTTGGGGCCCAACTTGATAGCAGCTTACAACAAGTTTTCTCCTAAGCAAAACAGTAATATTAATAATGACTTTATATTACTGGTGTGACAATAGACCACACTAATGAAATGAAATGAATAACAGTGGTACAAGGCATTGAGAGGAAGTTTAATATACAACAATTTTTTTCCTGCAGTAATTAATCTCAATCCTATGGTTAAAATGCACAAGAAAGCAAGATTTCCTACGATTAACTCTCTTCTACAAGAAACTCCTCAGGAATGAGGAATACCTAGTTATCTACAATATAGGTGGTGGTTGTTATTGTTAAGTACCTTTGAGTTGTTTCTGCTTTATAGCAGCCCTATATGTGGGTTCTGCGGCCATAAATCTTTTCAGGAGCATAAAGCCTCAGACTATAGATGGCAGATGTATTTTGTTTTATTTTTCTCTAAAAAGCCTTTGCATACAGAAACTTATATCACCACCAGGTGTCAGAATATCACAAGATGTTAATTTCGAGCTGTGCCAAGATAAAAGATCCCAGAAATAGTAGTAAACATTAAAATTGCTTTGGGGTTTTAAAATATACTAATCATAGTATATTTAGTAATATACTAATTATTTTTAGGAGTTCTAGTGTGGTGCTGTAGGTTAAGCACTGGTAGCCACAAGGTTGGCGGTTCAAACCCACCAGATGCTCCTCAGAAATCTTATAGTCGCTGTGAGAACTGACTTGACAGCATTTAACAACAGCAATTACACTTAATATAATTTAAAATACTAATTTGCTAATATATGCATTTCTCATTAAAGATAAATAAATCTAGATTTCTTTTATGGGCCTAAGATACTCATCATCTATGACACTTAAGTATCTGGCGACAGGTTTCTATTTTCATGAATAATTTGTTTACTGTAATATAGTTCATTTGTGCTCCTTTGGTTTACACAAAAGCTATCACATGCACAGACTGTTTTCTCTAAACACTATTTCCCATTAAAGGAATCAGGGTTACTTGGAGAAATGGCTCATTCCAGGTCTGGGTCAAGAAATGTACACAATGAGATTAGAATCACATTTAGAACAAATCATCCAAACTCAATGCCATCAAGTCAAATATTACTTATAGAAACCCTATGTTGGTCCTAGCCTCATAGGGCTCCAAGACTATAATCTTTACAGATAAAGATGCACATCTTTCTCCCACAGAGTGACTAGTGGCTTCAAACCACTGACCTTTTCTTGGCTAGCAGCCATGTCCTTAACTACTAGGGATCCTTAGAATCATACAAGAAAGAACAACCCATCAAAGTCTATGAGGGTTGTTGTTATTAAGTGCCATTTAATTGGCTCTCACAGCCACCCTGTATAAGGTTTTCAATGCTTCAGATACTTGCAGGAGCAGAAAGCCTCATTGTGCTTCCGCAGAGTGACTGGTGGACTTGAACTACTAACCTTGTATTTCAATCTAGTGCTTATCGTATGGCTGTTGTTTTTAAGTGCCATTGAGTCAGTTCCAACTTATTTGTTGTTGTTATAGTGTTCCTGTATAGGGTTTCCAAGGAGCGGCTGATGAGTCTGAACCGCCAACCCAGTCAGTTCAAACCGACTTTACAGTCGAGCGCTTACCCTACAGCGCCACAGGTTGTTGTTGTTCAGTGCTGTAGGTCGATTCCGACCCATAGCAACTCTTATAAGATTTTCAAGGAGCATCTGGTGAGCATGAACCACTGACCCTGCAGTTCAAATGACTTTGCAGTCTGACACATTAGCCCACAGTGCCACACCAGGTTAGCATTACTCCTTGCCACAGGTTAGAGTTACATAAAAAGAACTCAACAGGCAACTAAGGAAGCTCTCATAGGCCAAAGGTGGTATTATTTGTGCTTCAGTATACCCAACAAATGCAAAACATACATTGTTTAAAACGTATTTAAATCCACATGTTTACAGTCATATTTAGACCCCAAAACCCCACCTCATTGGCTACTTTTGGGTACTATTAGAAAAATCAATTCATTATTTTGAAAATTGGTAAAAAGAGGACATGAATCAAACTTTTATCCTGCCTTTCCCATACAAAACATTTATCTAAATAGCAAAACAGTTGAAACTGGGATAACTCTGGGTATACTCTAGCTAATAAATGAAGAAATGATAGAATTGTAGCACTATTCTTTTGTAACTCTTTATAATCTTCAATGGTTACTAATATCTTCATAAAGAAAAACAACCAGATATAATGTCTCTCCTGATGAACAACATATGTAGCATCCTTGCTACTCCTGTCCTCTATATACCTAACTACTAATTCACAGCAAATACATGTCAGCATGTTGTGCAACATCAATCAGCAAACTCTATACTCTAGGAAACTACAGGGTAACAGCCCATTTTCTACAATAAATAACTTGCAAGGCAAATGAGAATGAGAAGCAAAGAGAAAGTGTATGGACTTGTGAGAGAGTGCCTACAGATTAAAAGGGATTTAAGAGATATTATCAACCAAGACAATAATGGAAATAGAATGGATAGTTCATGATATTGAGAAGTTATTAATTCTTACATGTGGTAATATTCTAGTTATTTTTAAAATGTACTTATCATTTGGAAATACTTACTGATGAAATAAAATGATATCTGGAACTTGCTTCAAAATAAATAATCCACGGAGAAGATGTGACACAGAAGTAGGTGGGTGTATGAACATAAGAAGGAACATCACTTGAAGACTGTAAAGACTATGTGACTGGAGATCACTAAGATGACTTTCACTACTTTGAAGTGTACGTTTAATACCTTTACCCCAATATTCTTAAGATACTTTAACTTGGTTTAAAAAAAAAAAAGTTCGATTTATTCAGGACATAGACTTATTTTCTGTGACAAAGACAAACATTTCAAATGATAGTGCCCTGCATGTTATTTGACTCCAATGGCAAAAGTTGACCTTTCACAGGTCTTCATCTTTAAAAGGGACCACTATAGAGTTATCAAGCCTATGTCTTCACCTTGTCAATAATATAATCTCACAAGAAAATTCTTAAATTGAGTATAATAAAATTAACCCTTAATAAATTTAGCTATTTTTCTCTCAAACTGGAGTAAATGAACTAAGCATCTGAGGTATTCTTACTATATACAAGATCTCCACAAAGCAGCCCAAATCTTAATAGCTTTAGCGTCCTTGTAGTTAATGCATAATACGCCTACCCCTTTCAACATCAACTCCAATTCTACAAATATATACTAAAAAATACAGGACTGCTTTAGGGTGGATTATAAAATAAGAGTTAAGTTTAGACATCCTTTACTTGGCCTCTTGGTGGCCTCCTTTCATTTGTACTATGGTCCCTAAGCCCCTTGCTGATTCCTCTCCCTCTAAAGTCTTCCTTTCAACTGGTTCCTAGAGTGATCCTCAACCAGAGGCAGTACTGCTCCAACAAGGGACATTTGGAAATGTACAAGAGCACTTTTTTCAATGCGACAATGAATTGGGGAGGTATGGACTAGCTACATTTATTGGGAAGGAGTCTAGGAATGGAATGACCTATCTAACATCTTTTTAGCTAGTAATTACCCATGACAATAACAAAAGCACCCTATGGAGAAATAGTCTGAGATAACACCCTCTCCATGTTCAGTCCAAGTCTTAGTTTCTAGAAATTTTCCTTAGACCCTGCTTTCTGAATTAATTACCTTTCCTCAGTGTCCCAAAGACTCTGATAACTATCTCCCTCAGAATACCTGACTTACACAATATTGAAATCTTTTGTTCACTTGTAAGCCTTCCCCCTCCTCCACAAACACACATTATACAGTGAACACCTTGCCTTATTCACCTCTATATTCCCAACACTTGACACATATATGACAGACAACACCCAACACATTTCATAAATGCAAGCAAGAGAAGAGAATGAAGAAAAGGATTTGGGATTGGAGTATGCTTGAATAGCATAAACAAAGGCATACGGTGAAGAGAAACATGGAACATTTGGAAGTCGGTAAAGAATGACTTGTGGCAGGTAACAAACCAGGGCTGGGTAAATCTCCACTATCAGCAGCTATTAAAAGACCTAATTACAGGATAAAACTTATGTGAAAAACTTGGATTTCCCTACAGGGAAGTCCAGACAACTTTATTGTTGTTGCTGTTAGTGCCCTCCAGTCAGTTCTGACTTATTGGGACCTTGCAGGAGTGGCTGCTGGGTTTGACCTGTCGACCTTGTGGTTAGCAGTCCAGTGCTTTTCCTACAGCATCACACTAGGACTCACTATTGAGTCAAACAATTTTGAAGCTCAATAGTCTAGAGAAAACAGGTGACTCATTCAAGATTCAGAGTAAATTATTAGACGAAGCCTGGCTAACTCATACTTCAGGATATATGGAAATACGGTCTCTAAAGTACTAATAAATTTTCTTAGAGATAAATATTTTGAAAATTCAAAACAGAAAACGGTATTCATCATCTAAATATTCACAATCTTCCAACTGGGACTTACCATACATACAAGTTTGTTCTCCTGGGTTTCTTTATCACAGGGAATGTCTGCAGTATCATCACCGCCTGCAATTCTTTCCCCAATTGCACCACTGATGCGCATCACCTCCACATGCAGCCGACCTGCCACCTGTAATAATAGGGTGGGGCGCATAAACTTTTTAGTAAGGTTCTGTTTCTTCCTTGAGATTATCTGCCTTCTGCTTTAGAGTCAAGTCATTAGGTTAATGGGATATGACAATTTAGGCACACCTACGTCTAACCATTATTTTCTCTCACATTTTTTTTGATAACTACCATAAAACACTAGAAAAACACAATGTATTAATAATGCATATAAATATCATTTATCATTAGTAATAAAAATAGCAACAATAGTAATACAATCACTACCCTATTGTTTCTTGGACTTTCCTCTGCAGGAAACATTGGTTGAAGAATAAACCAACCTCTCCTTTCTGATTGACAATTGGAACAGCATACTGTAACTTCACATCGTAGAAAAGGGACTCAAGGAAGACATTGGCCACCCCAATGAGACTGTGATTTTCCTGTTCATCATAGAATGGATCAGCACGCTTGAAGTAAGACCGTATGACCTTTGAAGAAATTCAAAAGCAATTCAGAAAATCACTTAAAATGAATGTATCCAACCTAACACTTTTTGACGTGTTCCAATTTGAGCTGTTAAACATAACTTTGATTACTACATACTGATCTTTATACTCTTTAAAGTAAAAAAAACGTTCTTGCTGATGTGCAGAATTTTTTATCTCCATACACTCAACCTCTCTCTCTCCCTACTTCTAATTTAGAATTGTGGTCAGGATCCTTTAGCCAAAAGGGAGAATCAAAATAATGTCATTTACTTTTATAATTTGTTCTCCTTATGTAGTAGTCTTGCCAAAAACCAAACAAACAAGAAACAACATACACTGACGCGATAAAAAGTGAAGTGCACTAAAGTACTCTTCATTTTCCTTTTAGGAAAGAGAGTCATTCATATCTATTCAATTTATTCTTAAATTAGTAGGTATTTTATTACTAATAAGAGGAAACCCTTTTACAAGACAGTGATTTACTTTTCCTGCACTTACTGTTATTGTTGCTTTATGAGAGTGATACAGAGGAGAATGGAGAAAAAAAAAACAAGAGAAAAAATGTTATCTAATTGTAAGAATTAGATATCTTTTTTAATGACACTCTGGAAAAATAAACAGTTTTTACAAAACAAGAGGCTAAGGAAATAAAACAGCTATATTAGTCAACAGAACTAGCAGTATTGAAAATATGTAAAAATATGCTTAATACATAAATCTATTTTTAAATATGTACAAGTGCATACTGGATTTAAGTTGAGAAATCTGCTTCATGAAAAGGAAATACCACCAATGTTCAAATCTATCGTTGAAAAACAATCCACAAAGGTTCCTAGCAGTGTAAATATTAAAGTGCCATTGACTTCCAATTCAAAAATATATCTACTGTAGTAAGCTTATTATTTACAAAGTTATATGTGTTGAGCAGTGGGAAAAATATTTTTAAAATGTGTTGAGAAACAAGAAAAGAGATAATATCCTATAGAAATTCACAGTCCAATACAAAGACAACAGAAGCCAAAATAGGATGAAAACAATTTGTTTAAATATCTTAAAGTGGAATATTCTGCTAGAAGTTCAGATGACTCAAAATCAGAAGAAAAAAGAAGATGCTGTAGATTCTTAAAATTCTTTTAGCTAGATTATTCAGAGATTTAAAATAAATTTTATTCCAGAAACATGATTACTATTTTAGAAAAATAAACCATTCCCTTGACATGGGTAGGCTCATTCTTACTTAATTCCTTTCATGACTACTAGTTAAGCCATTTTTTTCTCAAATAACTTACTGGGGAATCTTCTTCACACTCTTTCCATTCCTGATAAAGGTCTCTCATGTCCAACAACCTGTTATCCAGTTTTTCCAAAGACCAAATCTGCTTTCCTTTTCCTTTTCTTCTCACTTGGATTGCAGGTTCACTAAGAAGAGAGCCTCTCTGCAAAGACACAGTGAGAAGGAGCAGGTGAAGCAGCAAACATAGCCACCATGAAGTCAAACCTGAACATTCTTATACCTTCCAGTCAAGTGACACTGTCATCTTTTATTTGTTCATTAAAAAGCTTACCAAAAAGGTTACAAACTTAAATATAATGTCTTTATAGACACCTGCAATCAAAATTTAAATGTCAGTTTAAATAGAAAACCCAAAATACTAGACCATACTTAAGGAGAAGTTAAAATGAAAACATTTTATTTAAGGCTCCATCTGACCATACAATTTCAACAAGCAGTCATCTGGATTGAATGGCAAGGGAAAGTTTTTTGGTAGAGATGGTTAAGAAATTATCTTTTACCTTTCAAAAGTCAAAGTTTCAATTTTTTTCTGAATGGCTTGTATCCTAATGTGGTATAAAAAAACAAAAGGTTTAAAAAATTAAATTGTGAGAAATCTCCAACTCACCCATTTGGAGGCAACAAAGGATAACAGTTTCCAAACTTGTCTATACACACAGAATTTATTATTAAAACAGTATGGAATTAGATAGAGGTTGTTGTTGCACAAGATTGTGAACATACTAAATGCCAATGAACTGTTCATTTTAGATCTCCCCCAGAGAGATGTATCTAATCAGTTATTTAATCTATTTTATTTACTGTTTTGATATGCCTACTTAGATTTCTGGAGAAGTGTGAAATACACTGATTCTTTCATTAGCATTTTATCCAAATCATTCCCAAAGAAACAAAATTTACATAACTTAATGAAGATCTGAGAACTGATCTGGTCAAAATTACAAAATTTCAAACGTCAGCTCGAGAAGATAAAGTCAAGTACTACAACAAAATGTGCAAAGATCTGTAGTCAGAAAACCAAAAAGGAAGAACATGCTCAGCATTTCTCAAGCTGGAGGAACCGAAGAAAAAAATTCAAGCCTCAACTTTCGATATTGAAGGATCCTCTGGGCAAATTATTGAATGATGAAGAAAGAATCAAAGACAACTATCTGGCTGACTGATTGGAAGTGATCCGTATCTGTGCCCATTCCAAAGAGAGGTGACCCAACGGAATGCAGAACTCATCAGACAATCTCTTTGATAGCCCATGCGAGTAAAGTACAGAAACAGCTGCAAGCATACATTGACAGAGAACTTCCAGAGGTTCAAGCCAGATTCAGAAGAGGCAGTGGAATGAGGGCTATCACTGCTGATATCCAGTGGATCTTGGCTAAAAGCAGAGACTAACAGAAAGATGTTTACCTGTTCTTTATTGACTATGCAAAGGCTTTCGACTGTGTGGATCATGACAAGCTACAGAAAACACTGCGAAGTATGAGTATTCTGGAACACTTAATTGTGCTCATGAGGAATCTGTACATGGACCAAGAGGCGGTTGTTCGACAGAACATGGGTACGCTGAATGTTTTAAAATTAAGAAAGGTGTGCGACAAGGTTGTATTCTTTCACCATACTTACTCAATCTGTACGCTGAGCAAATAATACAAGAAACTGAGTTATATGAAGAAAAACGTGGCATCAGGATTGGAGTAAGACTCATTAACAACCTGCGATATGCAGATGATACAACCTTGCTTGATTAAAGTGAAGAGGACTTAAAATATTTACTGATGAAGATCAAAGAGCACAGCCTTCGGTACAGATTACATTTCAATGTAGAGAAAACAAAAATTCTCACCACTGGACCAATAAACAACATTCTTATCAATGGAGTAAAGACTGACGTTGTCAAGGACTTCATTCTTCTTGGATCAACTATCAACACTCATGGAAGCAGCAGTCAAGAAATCAGATGACGTATTGCATTAGGCAAATCTGGTGCACAAGACCTTTTGAAAGTGTTGAAGAGCAAAGATGTCAGCTTGAGGACTAAGGTGTGCCTGACCCAAGCCATGGTGTTTTCAACAACTTCATATGCATACGAAACTGTAGTGAATAAGGAAGACCATAGAAGCATTGATGCTTTTGAATTATGGTATTGGAGGAGAATATCAAAAGTACCATGGGCTGCCAAAAGAACAAACAGATCTGTGTTGGAAGAAGTGCAGCCAGAGTGCTCCTTGGATGCCAGGATGAACAAACTTCGTCTCTCATACTTCGGACATATTGTCAGGAGGGACCAGTTGCTGGAAAAGGATATCATGTTTGGTAAGGTGGAGGGTCAGAGAAAAAAAGGAAGAACCCCAGCAAGATGGATTGGCAAAGTGACAGCATCGATGAACTCAAGCATGGCAACAATTGTCAAGTTGGCCCAGGATCAGTCAGTGTTTCGTTCTGTTGAGTATAAGGTCATTGTGAGTCCGGCATTGACTCAATTGCACCTAACAACAATATATACATATATATACATATATGAGAAAGACAGAGAGAGAGAGAGAGAGAGAGAGAGAGAGAGAGACCTGCTGTGGCGCTGGGGGATAGAGCACTGGTCCATAAGGTCGGTTTGAACCACAAGTTCAGTGGTTCAAACTCAGCAGCCACTCCTTTGAAACCCTAATCAAAGTTGGAGTCAGAACTGACTCAACATCATATATCAGCAACATCATATATCAATTCAGACAGCTAGTGAATAAATATGAAAATTACATCATTAATTTGTGAGTAATGGATTTTCCTGGGTAGAATGCTAGGACTGGGTCTGAAGAGTAATGAGCAATATGATGTAACTACCATTCAGACCCAGAAGAGTAATGAGCAATATGATGTAACTACCATTATTTGGCCTGCTTGTAAATAGCTCCAACAGTGAATGCAAAAAGAAAGTAATAAATTTTTTCCCTTGCCAAAAATATCCAAACACAGAAGCTAAGAGCAGAATGAAAGGCTGTCACATGAAGTAAGACTTTTCAAATACTAAGAAGAAAGTCTTAATTTGATTCAAAACTGGACTATGGAGAATATCTCCTTAGAAAATACTTTCGTGTGCAGTTTCTCTCTGGCAGAAATATGAAGACATTTATCTATGAGGGTAATTCAAAAGCATTGTTTTAAAATCATAGAAACCTTTGTTAAGCAAAGATATCAAAATATGTAGCTATTGTTTCTTAACATATCTTCCATCTAGGTCTATGCATTTCTGAAGGTCCTGTTTGCATCTTTCTTATCCTTCCCTGAAAAAATTCTGTGCTTTTTGATTTACACCTTGTCAAAACAGCAGTTTTGGCATCCTGTTGCTGTTGTTGTTAAGTGCCATGGAGTCAGTTCCAACTCCTAGCAACCCTGTAGAGGGTTTCCAAGGAGTGGCTGGTGAGTTAGAACTGCTGACCTTGTAGTTCAAACTGACCTTGAGGTAGAGTGCTTATCCTAAGGCGCCACATAAAGACTCCTTTGGTATCCTGGAGGGACTCAAATCATGTTCCTTTTAAATGTTCTTGAGTTTGGAAACAAAAAGAAGTTTGAAGGGACAAGATCAGGGCTGTACGGTGAATGGGGTACAATTTCCCAACAAAATTCTCCTAGGACTTGCAACCCTTAAAGAATGAGCAGTCTTCATAAAAGGGAAAAAAAAAAACCCCACAAAAAACCCTATCCAGCCTTCTTGGCTTTTTTCTCACCAATGCAGCTTTCCATTTTCTTAAAGGTTCTTCACTATAAGCCTCCATGGTTGTCCTATGACCTTTTAAAAACTCTATGAAGATTACCCCTTCGGAGTCCAAAAAAACAGTCACCACACCCTTCTGAGCCCAGCAGAAACTCTCAGAAGCCAGTTTTAATTTTAACCTTTTTTTTGAGGGCACCCTAGCAAGGCTCAAACAAGTGTATTACTGAGAGAACTGGGCAGCAGCCATCAACTAACTAATCACAGAGATATGTGTAAACACACTTTGTCCAGATTAAAACTGTGCATGCATGAACTAGAAGCTTAGTAGCAATATTTTTTGACTTACCTCATATTTAAAGCTGAATAAGCACAGTGAATTAATAGCTGCCTGGTAAAAATGTGTATTTCAACTCCACCAATGTTAGTTACCTCTAACAGCAATAGGAACAACTCCAATGAGCACACATTTGGGAGCACAGGAGGAGAGAGATGCCCAGAGTGACCTGAACCACTTCTAGTTGTTGGCTTGGCTGCACTAAGTCAGAGTTGCTTCTTCCCAACAAACACCAAAACAGGATACAGAGAAAAGGGCTACAATCATGCTTAATGGGAAAAAGATGTCAAGTTTCTATTTTTTTTTTCACCACAAACATTACAAAGTGAAAGAAGACTTTCTCTTCTCAGTTCCCTAAAAACAGCTGAGGCCTAACGAACACCTGGGGCAATCTCTAAAATTGCAACCCTCCAGTTTCCAGATGAATGCACATGATAGCAGTGGAGTCAGCAGAAATGCCTTCCCCTTCTTGTCCGGCTGTCAGATACCTTTCATATTTGTGGCACCTCAAAATGTCATTCATTATACCTCTGAATGTCATTCTGAGCTCCATCTGATACCCCCTTGGACTTGCATTCTGGAGCAAATGTCCCCCCTTTTATCTCCTTTGTCCTATCAACCCCATCTCATTTTACCTTTTGATATCTACTGTACTTGAGGGAAGACTCTGGGCAGTACCAGAGTCTTAAAAACTGCTCATTGGCGTACTACTTCAAGTGGTGCCCAGTAATCATAACCTTCTGAGATAGACCCTCTGGCCATGCCATACTTTAGATATGCTCTCTGGCCATGTACCTTCTGCATCGCTTTTAAACTTTCTTCCACTGTTTTTGTCTATAAGTCCCACCCAGAATGTTATCTACAAATACCATAAGCAAATGAATACATTCCTAAGTAGGTAAAATCTTTCAAATTATACAGTATGCATCAAAAGACATTTTCCCATAACATAATGATTATGTCATTTCACAATCCCTTTATTGCACAATTTAACTATCATATTCAGAAACATCTACTTTGGGCAAAGCCTTGGCCTGGGTGCAGTGATGTCATTAACAGAAAAAAAGATGTGATCCTTACTCTCAAAGAACACCCTAGAAAGATGGATGAAACTCTTGCCATATCCAGTATTGCAGGAGAAACAGAAAACATGGCCTTTTAAAAACTTTGTCATCTGAATGCAAAATTCTACCTAATTCATAAAATAAATAAATAAATAAAAATGCATGAGCATTATGAAGAGCTAGAAAAGAACCTCAAAACAAATAACTAACTGGTACAGATGGCAAGATTTCATGGGGCTTTCCTTCTACATTTTATTATGCTTACTGCATTATACAAAAAACAGATTTGTGATCTTGAATACACACATGAAATGATAAACAGCTTTAGAGAGCACTCTCATAGAAAGTAGACAGCAACAGCAGTATAATTAAAACGAGCACCTAACTTATCAAGTGGCAGAACTACTATAAAGTAATTACAGACTGAAGATGAAAAAGAAAATAACAAAAAACTTGGGAAAGATTAATCAGGAAAGACTTCTTAGAAATCATTTCAACATATCTGAAGACAGAGTTGAGAGAACACACTGGCAAAGTGAGAGAGGGTAAGAAAGGTATAGAGTACATTCCCAGTGAGTAAAGGGTTGTTGTTGTTGTTAGGTGCCATGGAGTCTGTGCACAAACGAGTCCTGGTATGGTGCTGAGGGTTAATGCGCTGGACTGCAAGGTTGTTTGAACCGTAAGGTGGGTGGTTCAAACTCACCAGTCACGCCTCGGAAACCCTCTATAAAGGGTCGCAACCGATTCGACAGCAGTTAACAATAACAACAACAACAACATATGCACAAAGGAACTAAATAAAAGAAACTAAATTCTATTTCAGAGTCTAGATTGAGGAGCACAGAGATAGTGGAATTATGGCAAAGTCACTGATATTAAATAACATCAATTATTTAATAAAATAAAGCAATTTTATTGAAGGACAGTCACTTTCTCTTCTCCCAATTAATGGCAACCTCACCTTTCTATTAGCATCGAGGCTGGAGGCTGGAATCTGTAGGGTAACTTTATATTCTGTTTTTTTATCCAGTTCTTCTGCAATGTAACTAGCTTCTCTCACCAAGAGATTGGCCTTAACAATCTGTTCCCTCAACCTCATCAGGCTATTGTTCAGTGTTGCTTCTCTGTTTTAAAAAAGAGAAGATGGGAGTGGAGAAGAGACAACATTTACAGCAGCAAATAAGAATACTATATAACACATATTATGATAATGCCAAAATGCAAACCAAGCTTTAAAATTTCATTGTCTACATAGAGAATAATACATTACTGACACCAACCCATGCACACACTTGTATCTGGGCTACATTATAAACACTGGTATATATCTGTGTACCAAAGCCACCTTCTATTAGGGCAGTGCTTGTCAAACTTGACTGTGAATACAAATCACATGGAGATTTTGACTCAGTGGGTCTTTGGTGCAGGCAGGTAAAGGGATGAGTGTCAGAGATTCTGCATTTTCTATCAATCTCCAGGTGAGAGAGATGCTACCTGTCTTCAGAAATTCGGAATAGCAAGGGGTTAGTTAAATACAGTCAGTAGCCATGGAATAAAAAATTTAGATGCAGTGCTAATTAGCCCATAAAGAGATCAAACTTGCAATCGGAAACTCATTAGAACCATGCTTTACCTGCCTAAGCTAATCAGTCCAGATATCCAACTTTCTTTCATTTTTCATCCCCTTTTTCACAAAAGGATCTACTAAGCTTCAGAACCTACAGTATAATACAGGCAGTCCTCAGATTATGAATGTCCAACTTATACACAATCCTTAGTTATTAATCAACATCCTCAAGTCCTATCATATTAAAAATGTAAGGTACATACAATGGTTCCTAATAACAAATGAATGCTACTTGGTGACATGTATGAAAACATGGGATAAAGCACTGCATTGCAAGGTCAGTGTGAACCACAAGGTTGGCGGTTCAAACCCATCAGCCGCTCCATGGAAACCCTGTACAGGGTACCCTCTCTATGAGTTGGAACCCATTCAACAGCACTTAACAGTTAACATTATTATGTTAAAGATGTTTTAGTTATTTGAAAGTGTTGCTTTAATGATTTTTATGTGTAGTAAGGTACACTACACAATATATATTAAAACAAACATTTAACTTACTGATGTTAGACATGAATCATATCTGTTACAACTTAGATATAAATTCCAGCTTAAAGACAGACTTAAAAATGGAACTTGTTCATAATAAGGGGAATGACTGTACAATGATAAAATAAAACTTCTGTGTATAAATACTTATTTAAATTCAAAAGCTTTATATACTGAAAATGGTCTTGCTCCAAACATAAGCAATATAAATGGATAGAAATGGCAATAGAAATGGATAGATAAAGCAAGAATGCCATGTAGCTTTTCACTGTAACACTCCTTTTTAATATATTTAGTTTCCAAAGTAAGATCTCAATTTTTCCATTCTATATCTTATCAAGGTGGGTTACAGATAATGTGGATATCCTATACATGCAATCGGCCCCCATATACCACCTACCTCTCCTCAGCCCACTGTCTTAAACGTTGCTGAGCACTGGGAGAGTGGACAGAGAACCTGTCCATGCTACTACGATAGTTTTGTTTCTCAGGAGATAGCCTTCTTCGTAGCTGCTCCAATTCATGTTCATACATTATCCTCTGGCGCTCTAATGCAGATCGCTTTTCTTCTTCATGCTGTTGCTCCAGGCTGGTCAATATTGACTGCATTGGATCTAAAAGAGTTTTTTGGTTTAAAAAAAGGTAAACACTAAAGCATAACATACTTCAATGTTACTCTACTATGTTGGTTAAAATGCTGGGAAAAAATTCTTGCTTCTAAAATTGTAATAAAAAATTGGAGAAATTTAATATGGATTGAATAGTAGAGAATGATGTTGTTAAATGTCGTTGAGTAATTTCCAATATATAGTGACTTAGTACAGGATTTCTGAGGAACGGCTAATGGGTATGAACAGCCAATCTCTGGTTCAAACCAACGTTTCAGTCCAATGCTTAACCTACCACATAATAAGAAATGATTACTAACTTTATTAGGTGTGATAATGCTTGTGTAGAAGAATGTCCTTATTCTTATGAGACGCATGTTAACTTATTTAGAGGCTAAGGATAGTATATCTGCAACTTGGTGTGTTACTACAGGATAAAGCACTGGACCACAAGGTCAGTTTGAACCTCAAGGTCTGCTGTTCGAACTCACTAGTTGCTCCTCGGAAACCCTTTACAGGGTTCCCTGTGAGTCAGAACCAACTCAACAGCCCGTAACAATATTTTCAAATAATTCCACAAAAAACAAACACACAGAACAGAAATATGCCAACAATTGTTGAATGTAAGTGGTGAACACATAAGTATTAACAGTTTTGTATGCTTAAAAATTTTCATATTAAAGTTAGAATAAAATAACAGAACATAAAAACTACATACTATATCATATGAGTTTAATGTATTAAAATTTGTAGGCAGCTTTTACTTTTCATAATGACAAGAGCTTAAATTTTACAGTCATTTTTTTTTTGGAGAAAGTAGTTGGGGTCCTGGTGTGTGACACTGTAGGATAAGTACTGGACTGCTAACTTCAAGGTCAGCGATTCAAAGCCACCAGCCATTCCTCAGAAAACTTATATATGGTTGCTATGTCAGAATTGACTCGATGACACTTGAAAACAACAAGAAACTGGGTTAATAGCCACATAAAAAATAGATAGAAAATAAAATTGAACTAGATTACACTAAGGTCATAAACAATCATTTCTTTTATTAATTGTACAAACACTTACTAAGGACCTAGCATGTTTAACACATCATTCTAGATGCTGAGTAAACAATGAAGAGTAAGATATTCTCTCAGTCTTTAAAAACTTAGAGTCCAGTTCCAAGGGAATTACTTGGTTAGTTATAAAATACACATGCATGAAATATGGAGAAAATCAGGGAACAAGCTTCAGTCTAGTAATCCATATCTTATTTCAAGCATTTTTACATGAGTAGAACTTAACTAAATGTTGTTTACCAAGAGATAAAAAGATAATAATGTTGTCCAAACCCCAATTTAAAGAAAAGGATACTCATATCAGAGTAAATAACAAAATACATGGCTAATATCCTATGAAATCTGTTTGGAAATTAGTCAAATGGCTTTAACCATAGATTTTTAAATTACAGTACTACTCTAATTAATATCACAAAATTCTTAAAAACAGTTTGGAATAAAAACTCTCAAGTTCCTATCATGTTTTTATCTATTCTAATTTGGACTCAGTTGTTTCTGAGGAGTGGCTGGTGGGTCTGAACCACTGACCTTGTGGTTAGCAACACAGTGCTTATCCTACAGTGACACATCAGGTCTCCTAATGGAGTTGTTGTTGTTGTTAAGTGCCGTCAAGTCACTTCCGACCCACAGCAACCCTGAACAGGGCTTCTGAGGCTGCAAATCTTTACGAGAGCAGAAAGCCTCATCTTTCTTCCGCGGAACTGCTGGTCGTTTCAAACTGCTGACCTTTAGATTAGCAGCCGATTCGTAACCAATAGAGTATGTTTTGTCAAGTGCCAATGAGTCGATTCCGACCCATAGCGATCCTGTACAGGGTTTATGAGAAGCACCTCGTGGGTTTGAATCACTGATCTCACGTCTTGTATTCCAGTGCTTATCCTACAGCATCACATCAGGAGTCCAAGGGAGTATAGTGAACAGAAATATAAAGACTTCCTTTCCTACTAACATTTAAAAGGATTCTATCCTTCAACATTTTAACACAACCAATTTTAAACGATCCTAAAATGTCAATAGATTTGCTCACCATTATTCCCAAGCGCCTTCATGGTGACTTCCATCTGGGCATATTCATAATTAAAGTTAATTTCACTGGACACCTCACTGGAGGAATCTCCATCTACATCCAGCTGCTCAGAGCTGCTATCATTCTTCATAGAGTTTTCATGTTCCTCATCCTCTTTTTCTGCTTTCTTTTTCTTTTTAGGCAAATTGAGTCTTGAGGGGTGGAGAGAGAAACAAGAAGATTTAAAAAATAAAGGTATATTTATTCATTCTATTCAAGAAATATTGGTATCTGCTAGGAGCCAAGGCAGAAACCACATTAAGTATAAGGCAATTAACATCAACTAGGAAGTTTTATATTTTAGAAATAAAATACATGCAAATACAAGGTCACATACATGACTGTTAACAAGCTAGTTCTAAAGAAAAGCTGAGGACCAATCAAACTTACTGGTGTGAGAGAGACTGGTAGAGCCCCAAAGATTATGGCCCTTAATCACCCTTTAAGTGTGAACTGAGCACACACCCCTTTATTCCTGGCCCTCCAAAGCTCAACTCTCAACCAAACAATAGACAGACCTCTAAGATGGACAATAACAACAAGGAGGTGGTATGCACCCGTTAGAACAATCAATCATATGAGATCAAAAGGGCAGCATTTAGCCAGTGATAAAGCTCAGAAGGTAAAAAGGGATAAGAAATAATAAAAAAGGGAAGAAAAGCTGAGGACCACTTCTGATTAACATAATAAAGGAAGGGACCCTAGGGAAGGAAAACAATTGATTGGGAGACTTAAAAGAAGTGCAGAAATTAGGGTCTTAGGGTAGTGGGACAGCATGAAGGAATTAAGCGTAGAACAAATGGAGAGCACGCAGCACTTGGGTATTAATGATTGTTAGTGGGAACGTTGACAAGACCAACTTAGGAAGGTTTTGAATACTAAGGAAAGAAATTTACACTTGATTCAGTTTGGGAAGGGGGGGTGGGGGGACTCTCCACACACTTTAATCCTTCTATCTTATAAATCAAAATATCAATTGATCTACAAGTAAAGGATTTTTATAAGTTATGCAAAAAAGTCAGTTTGATATCTGAAGTAGAGTGACCAGGATTTTCATTTCATACAGTAGCCAGTCCAACTTTCTTGGTCAACACACCCAACAATTTTGTTTGGAAAAAATGTACATAGTCCCTAGTAAGTCAGCCTACCTTGCAACTAAGGAAAATTCTAGCAAATGAGACACAAGTTGAACTCTACCGAAGTTTCTGGGAAGACTTTGAATTTTTTAATCAGAAGGATAGTCTGGACTAGTGTTGCCACCTTTTCGCTTTTTTCCCCCTATTTACCCGAATGTGGTTTTGATGGCTGGACTAAAGTAGCCATCTTTAGACCATAAAGGAAATACCAAAAAAATCACAAGAGTTTAGCAATGAAACCTAACCAATGCCAGAAACCATCTGCTCTTCAGATTTCTTATTTCATAAAACATACTATTTATTTAAGCTATTATAGTCAAACTTGTCATTACTTGTATCTAAGAGCAATCATAAATGAAATAGACTAGGAATAGACTTTATTTTGTGGATAAGTCAAAGTGACTACTACTTTTCAATAAAATACATAAATGAAAAGATTATTATGTCATAAAATAATTAATAGAGAAAGATTAATTAGGATTGATGAAAGATACTTATATCACATGATGAAACATATTACTAACACTAATCTTCTTTTGGGAGGGAAAAAAAAAATAAAAGCAAATTCATTATGTATCCTGAGTGTACCATTCATATATTTCTAGAGTTCAAATCATTTACATTAGCTATATAAATCAAATATATATAAAAAGTCTCTCCCTCTCTGTCATATATATATATATATATATATATATATATATCACACATACACACACACATATATATACATACATACACATATATACACACACATATATATACATACATACACATATATACACACACACACACACACACACACACATATATATATATGTTGTTATTACATGCAATCGAGTCAGTTCTGACCCATAGCGACCCTGTACAGGGTTTCTGAGGCTATAACTCTTTACGGGAGCAGAAAACTTTATCTTTCTCCTGCGTAACTGCTGGTAGTTTCGAACTGCTGACCGTGAGGTTAGCAGCCCAACTCGTAACCACTACACTAACAGAGCTCCATATATATACACACAACATATATATATACACACACAAGAACAAACAGTATGTATAATAAGTAAATACAGATTTACCAAATAATGTATACTTTTTATGAAGCTAACTTTAGTTTTTAATATTCTACCTCAGAGCATAATCTTCAATATTCCCTTTCTTTAGGGGCTATGAACAATGTCATACCTGAAGAAGTGGTTGTTTCCCCATAATATCCTGTCTCCATGGTGTAGTTGTATAGGACTGGAGACACAAGAGCCATTCACAAATGTTCTGTGGGGAGAAGAGGTCAAGCACATGTAAATAATGAGTATCTTGCTTTTGCATTAACTGTCTAATACTACAGAGGTCATGTTACTGGGGAAAACAAAATGATCAATTCCTCAAAATCAAACCTGTTCTTGATGTTTTTAAAAATATATATTTGCTTCTTTTTTGACTTACCTAAAATGCTCATAAGAATAAAAGATAATAGATTATTATCCTCTATGCTTTTAAAGTTCTCAATTTGTAGACAAGCAGTTCCCAACTTATAATGGGATTTCATTCTGACAATTCCATTTGAAGTTAGTTCTGACATAAATGGACTATCTAATTTTTTTTTTAAAGCTTTCATTATTATTGTCTGTTATTATCAGTTTCTTTATAAATCTTATCTTTATTTGTCTTTGGGGGTTGGAAAAATTACTTTAAACTTACAAATATATTTTAACATTATATTAGTACACATTACTAACAATGTTGTTGTTGTTAATTGCCGTCGAGTCGGTTCTGACCCATAGTGACCCTGTATAGGGTTTCCGAGGAGTGACTGGTGAGCTTGAAACGGATTTGCAGTTCAAATGGATTTGCAGTCTGACGCATTAACCCACAGTGCCACACCAGGACTCCAACTAACAACGAGATGTACAAAAAAATTTTAAAAGACAGTGTAGTGTTTTGCAACTCAAATATATTATAAAGCCGGAGACAACATTTATAGTGTATGGAATACAATGGCCAATAAAAAGATAGCAGAATTATATACTGTAAGTGAAACAAGTGTGTCCAATCAACCAAATAGACTCTTGAAATATGTACAGATACCAGTAATCAGAAATGAGGCCTCTATTGAATTTTCTTGTAGTTTACTATATACAGTGTGTTGTTCTTCTTAAGTGGCATAGAGTCGGTTCTGACTCATAACAACCCTATGTAGGGTTTCCAAGGAGCAGCTAGTGGGTTTGAACTGCCAACTTTGCAGTTCATAGTCCAGTGCTGATACTATAGCACCAAACCAGGAGTCTATATGCAGTATAGTATACAAAAATGCTCATTTCCTAGCAATGTAGAGACTTATGAGTTCTACTTTAATGCTTATCTTTTAAAATGGAGTTAAATAGTAGAAACAATGAGCAGAAAGACACTAAAAAGGGGAAGAATTTTTTTTTTAAATATACATATCGCCGTAAGACTAATGGAGTCCTGGTGTGGTGCTATAGGATGAGCACTAGACCACAAGGTTCAAACTCACCAGCTGCTCATTGGTAACCCTATACACAGTATCGCTGTAAGTCAGAACCAATTTGATGGAACTTAATAACAAGGACAAAGAGACATATATTCCTGGACTACCAGGGCCATCTAAAGTTAAATTCTTTAAGTTGCTATTAAAGACCCTGTACAAGGAAGCTCCCTTCTATCACCTAATTTTCCTCCTCCACTCTACAGTTTTCTTCAGTTCCCCCAGCTTGAGAAATGCTGAGATTGAGGACTAAGGTGAGCCTGACCCAAGCCACGGTATTTCCAATAACCTCATATGCATGTGAAAGCTGTCAGTGAATAAGTAAGACTGTAGAAGAATTGATCCTTTTGAGCTATGGTGTTGGAGGAGACTATTGAAAGTGCCATGGGCTGCCAAAAGAACAAACAGATCTGTGTTGGAAGAAGTGCAGCCAGAGTGCTCCTTGGATGCCAGGATGACCAAACTTTGTCTCTCATGCTTCGGACATATTGTCAGGAGGGACCAATCACTGGAGAAGAATATCATGTTTGGCAAGGTGGAGGGTCAGAGAAAAAGAGGAAGACCCCCCCAGAGAGATGGATTGGCAAAGTGGCAACATCAATGGGCTCAAGTGTGGCAACAATTGTGAGATTGGTCCAGGACTGGGCAGTGTTTCGTTCTGTTGTGCATTGGATCGCTATGAGTTGGCTGACTCGATGGCACCTAACAGCAACAACACTCTACCAAACTATCAACTCCTGGGAATAAAAAGTTTTTTTTGGTACACATGAATGACTTTTTCTCCAAACCCAAATAAGTATCAGTTCTACAACCCAGAATAAAGTTCTCATGCCTCACCACCATCCTGCCCTGAGCCCCAGCTTCTACTTCCTCTGTAAAGCCTACTAGTTACTACAGCTGACACTATCTACATCTTATTTTCTTTAATCTCCTAAAGCACTTACCTGACTTTATAGCGTTCACTATTTTTCATTTACATATAGTGTGTGTATGTGTGTGTGTGTATGTATATATATATATATATATATATATATATATATATATAGTATATATATATATATATACATACACACACACACATACACACACTAGATATATGTGTGTGTGTGAAAAATCCTTATATTTCACTTGCCATGTAGGTTTTCTAACACTGAAACAATCTTTATATTCCTATAGCTTGGTAAGTTAAACCGCAAGCTCAAATAACAGTTATGATTAATATGTGACGACAGGGGACAAACTAATATTAGCAGATTTTAGCCTTTATGATCATAAATTCCTTAAATATAGAGAGGAGTTTAAAGGATTGTACAGATGTGATCAATAGTGGTTATTAATGATTTTTTTTATCATATAATGAAATGTATCAACACTTGAAAGATCAACTCAGTTAACCTCTGTTTGTAAACTGGGCAATAATAGTATTTTTACAGTGTAAAGAAACAAACTAAAATTCATTTAATTTTTATAATGCTTTATTTATTCTTTATTTATTCCTTCATTGAACACTTATTGAATAGGAAGTCCTGGTGTGGTGCTGCAGAATAATGCACTGGACTGTAAGGTTGGTTTAAACTACAAGGTCGGTTTAAACTACAAGGTCGGTGGTTCAAACTCACCAGTGACTCCTTGGAAACCTTATACAAAGCCACTATGAGTTGTAACCGATTCAGCAGCACTTAACAATAACATTACATGCTACGGATAGAAAGGCAAACATGAAGATTGTGTCCTCAGAAGTTTAACATCCAGTGGGATGACGAAGGCTAACAGTCCACAAGAATACAATACAATCTTGGGAAACAATGTGCAATCATTGTTGTTGTTGTTAAATGCCCCGTTCAGTCAGTTTCAACTTATAGAGACATTGTATAGGGTTTCTGAGACTTTTTAAATCTTTATGGGAGCAGAAAACTTCTTCTTTCTACCATGGTGGAGCGACTGGTGTGCTGCGACCTGTAGTTCACTATCCAGTGCTTATCCTATGGAGCCACTGTACTCTCATAGTACATACTTGTTGTTGTTTTTAAGTGCTGTCGAGTTAGTTCCGACTCATCACGACCCCATGTAGGGTTTCTAAGAAGCAGCTAGTGAATTTGATCCACCAACCTTGTGGTTCAAACTGACCTTGGGGTCCAGTGTTTTTTCCCACAGCACCATACCAGGATTCCATAGTGCAAACTGTTGTTGTTGCTGTTAAGTGTTGTTGAGTCATTCCTGACTCAAAGTGGCCCTGTATAATATTTCCAAGGACTGGCTGGTGAGCTTGATATGCCTGCCATGAGGTTCATACCAACCTTGCAGTCCAACACATTAACCACAACACCACACCAGGACTCCATAGTACAAATTTTGTTGTTGTTATTGTTAAGTGCTGCCGAGTCAGTTCCGGCTCAGACTGGTCCTGTATAGGGTTTCCAGGAGTGGCTGGTGAGCTTGAACCACTGACCCTGTAGTTCAAACCAACCTTGCTGTCCAGCGCATTAGCCTGCAGTGCCACACCAGGACTCCATAGTATAAACTAGGAGCACTTTATTTATACCAAACAAGGAACTCCCCAAAGTACATAATTCCAAAGCTAAACCTTGAAACTCAAACAATCTCAAAGGACTAGTAGCAGCAGAGACACGGGAGAAGTTTGACAACAGAAGACTACAGTGCTGATGAGAGATTTGATGAGAGACTAAATAAAGCTATGGGTGTGGTTACAGAGAGAAAGGGATGAGTTTATATTAAAAAAGTTAAGTAGAAAGGGCTTGGTAACTAATTAAATATTGTAATTATGGGAATGTAAACATAAAAGACAACAAAAGTCAAATGTCCCATATACCACTCACCACTAGTAAGTATACTTTCTTCTTTGTAAAATTATCAAGGCATTAACACTATTTAAAGTACATTACCACCACTTGACTGTCAGTGTGTCATATGGTGGTGGCTATATATTGCAAGACTTTTTTCAAATGTTAAAAAGCAAAGATGTCACCTTGAGGACTTGAGTGTACCTGACCCAAGCCAGGGTATTTTCAATTATGTCATATGCATGTGAAAGCTGGACAATGAATAAGGAAGACCAAAGAAGAAGTGATGGATGTGAATTATGGTGTTGGCAAAGGATACTGAAAGTACCACAGACTACCCAAAGAACAAACAAATCTGTCTTGGAAGAAGTACAGCCAGAATTGCTCTTTAGAAGTGAGGATGGAAAGACTGTTTCACATACTTTGGGCATGTTATTGAGATGGGCCAGTTCTTGGAAAATGACATCATTAATGCATTGTAAAGTACAAAATCATCACACACAAAAAAGAGTAAGACCCTCAAAGAGATGGACTGACACAGTGTCTGCAACAATGAACTCAAACATAACAACAATTGTGAGAAGGGCGCAGGACCCAGCTGTGCATCACTTTGTTGTGCACAGGGTTGCTATGAGTCGGAACTGACCAGATGGCACCTAACAATAATGACAAAATACATTACCTGGTGTTCTTTTGAGGTGTAAGCACAACCTGGCCTTCTGATGTGATGTCTATAATGCAATGTTCAGGAAGAATTCCCATTCCACATAGTTGGATATCCTGGGAATTTGCTGATCCTATCAATGTATGTTCCTAAGAAAGAATCAAATTCACTGATTAATATCATATTCCGACATATACAAAAACTGAAATAATCAATCCCGAGTCCTCTGTCGTTGAGCCAATAACTTAACTAAAATATTTTTAAAGCAAATGGAGTGACTGGGAAGAGGAATCCCTGGGTTTACTCTGAAATTCATTCTGTAAGTTATGCTTTCTTTATAGGAATAATCCATTGGGTTGAGCATTTACCTCTGAACTTAAAACTTTAATTTTAGATTCATGTGTATACTATGATATTATTTTTCATGGCACTCTTGTATCCAAATAATATAAATTATTTTTTAGAGTATGAGCCATGTTTCAGTGATGTACCAAAATATTAGTGTGCAATTGCAATTGCTGAAATTGTATATCACTTAACTGGTCTCAGCCAAGATGCACCAACTACAAAAATAAAGACTATTTATATGAATATGAGTTTTAAAAAGTCTAAAGTTGCATTATAAATATTCTTTAAAATGCCTCATAAAAAATATATTGATATAGTTTTACTTTACATTCCCAACTATTCAGTTCCCTAAATTCCAATCATCCCCCTCACTCTTGGGGAAAACAAAAGTCCATAAAAATTGAGCTCACTCTTATGAACTTCAATATTTAACTGCCTATATATGCACAGGTTTTTAAATGTTAATATGATCTCAAATGTGTTCCTAAGCTACCTTCTTTTTATACATATCAGGGGTTGTATATTAAATATTTTAGGGTCAGCTACTACTTCTCAACTCTGCCATTGTAACAAGAAAGTAGACAGACAATACATAAATGAATGAATGTTGAAATATGAAATTTCAAGGAATTTTCACGTCTAAAATATTCTGCTTTTGATTACTTTTTCTTTGCAACCACTGAAAAATAGAGACCTTCAACATGGTTTTCAAGAAGTAACTGGTGTGTTTGAACTGCCGACCTTGTGGTTCAAACCAACCTCGCGGTCAAGTGCTTATCCTACAGCAGCACACCAAGATTCCTATAATGGCACTACTAGCATAGAAGTTACGAGTTGAGCTGCTAACCTCAAGGTTAGTAGCTTGAAACTACCAGATGTTCCATGGAAGAAAGATGAGGCTTTCTGCTCCTGTAAAGATTTACAGCCTTGGAAACCCTATACAGGGTTGCTATGAATTAGAACTGACTGTATGGCACATAACCAACCAACCAAAACCACAGATTTAAAAGCTTCCGAAGCTCTATACAGGGTCACTATGTGTAGGAACCGACTCAATAGTACTTAACAACAAACAACAAAACGCACCATTCAGTTACTCAACTAAAAATCAGAAAATAATTACAACCACCAAAGTATTTCAAAAATTGGCTCATATTCCCCTATCTCCACTACTGCACCATTATGTCTTGCCTGGGTGAATGCAGAAGCCTCCTACTATCTCTCCACTTTCATCCCTCAAGATGCTCAATATTCCTCAAGACCTATTCCGACCACAGCATTCAGTGATCTTTAAAAAACAAACAACCCAGGTCATGATCCTCTATTTAAATTCTCTAGTGGCTTACCTATGCATTTCTAATACAATCCAAATTCCTACCCAGGCTTATAAAACCATTTGGGATCTAGCTACTGCTTACTATTTTTATCTTAGTGGTTATGTGCCATGAAGTCAGTTCCAACTCATAGAGACCCAGTACAGGGTTTCTGAGGCTGTAAATCTTTTTTTTTTTCTTAAATGTTTTATTGTGAATTATGTGATAGTTTACATGGGAGAACATTAGTTTTACATTCATTCTATCATATATCGTTTTATTGCCACAGTTACAATCCCCTCCATGCATCATACAGATAACCTTTTAACAGTATTCTGGGTTCTAAATCCTTTTATTATATCCAATGCCATAAAAAGGCGTCTTCCTTTCTAGCATTTTCATTTCCCCTTTTCTGAGATTTTTTTTTTTCTCTTCTGTCTTTAGGCATGCTATATAACAGGGCTTCAAAAAGCTCATGGAAAAAATGGAATTAAAAGATAATGGCTTAAGAAAGACCTACAAGAAAAATACAAAACAATATAGGCAGACCGACTGTTACTACAAGAAGAAGCAAGTTGCTTGCACAGGAGACATCAAGGCAAGTGGTCGGGTCTCCTCAGTGCAAACCCCCTTCCAAGACTAAGACTCAATGGGAATACATATTCTGATTGTTGACCACATTCATCACCAATAAGGGGAAGTGAGGAAAAAAACAGCAATGAAGCTACAAGCTAAGCCCTACAAAGTTCAATAGACTCCTGTGAATCTGGTTGGCCAGTAGTGTGGCAAGACCTAGGAACTCTTAGGCCCAGAGTCAGTGACATAGCCATAGAAGACTAGAGTGGAGAGTGAAGCATCCAGCTGATAAGAAGAGACGGCACATGCATAAGAATACCCACACTTGCAGATAATACCCACTTGACCTGACTTCAATGACTTGATGATCAGAGCTCAACTAGAAGATGAAAGAAGAGGGAAAAAAAAAGAGTAATTTGATAAAATTTGATGAACTTGACCTACACCTATGGATGCAGTAGCTCAAAAGAGGGTACAAATCTTTACAGCAAGGATCATTTCCACCCCCTTCATACACAGAGTGGACAGGGATGGGCAACTTGGACATTGGCTACTCAAAAAGGAGGGGCTACAAAGGCAAGAAGTGACTGGCTTACAAGCTTTCAAGAGGGAACCTAAATCTAGAGGGTGTGAAGGAAGGTAGAATCTCCACTAAGTATTATACAATCTGTCTAGGCGGGGCTGATGAAATGAAATGCGGGTGGGTATCTTGTGTTACAATAGTGAATAGTTGTTATCAGGACTGCTTGTGAGGGTTGGAGATGTAAAGGTAGACATTTTGTAGCAAGGAGGGGAGTGATTAACTTTTCAGTCTAGGAGCAGAGGTCCCTGGGACTATCAAGGGAGAAGAGTGGAGAGCAGGACCCTACCCAGAGAAGCAGTGATGCCAGAGATGGAGGCAGAGATGATGACGTGGAGAGATGGAGCAGTTGGGGACTTTAAACACAGAGAGGGAGAGGGGCTGTGTGCTGACGACCGGGGGGCAGGCTTGTATTATATAGACCTTTTGGTTGGTTGATGATGCTGGAGGGGATTGTAACCATGCCAATGAAACGTTATACGATAGGATGAATGTAAAACTAATGTTCTCCCATGTAAACTATCACATAATTCACAATAAAACATTGAAAGAAATAATAATGGCTTTTTTCCATTAACTTTTTGAAGCCTCCTCTTAAATTATAGTGCAACGGTTGTTTCCAAAGACAAAAAGAGCTAGGACTCAAAACTCATCCATGGTAGCCTGTTAGGTCTTCAAGGAATATATTTAATACAGAAGACAGTTCTGCTTCTCACTATTAGCTGAGGCTTCCTGACCAATCCTATAAAGTTTCTTTAATATGAAGACCATGTTGGTTCCCCAACTGTCTTATAGAACCAAGAATAAGGTGGAGGAAAGTTCCAAGGGGCATGGGGACAGACAGGAGGGAGGAAGAGTTCAAAGAGAAAAAGAGGTCTAAGATCACTTAAAGAAGATGAAAAATAATCCCAAAAGCGCTTACGTAACCCATCCGATGAGACATTTCAGCACTGAGTCTTAAAACTCCTGAGCTATACCTTAAAACTCCTGAGCTATATCTTAGTCTGGAGTTTGACTGTGGAACAAACTCAGACTATTACACCTCTAGATTACATACAACTTCATTTCCACATCTTTGTCCTTGTTATTGTTCTCTTTACCTGACATATTCTCTCTTCTCTTCATCGAAATTCAGAGATTCTTTCAAGACCTATCATCTTCTACATGAAGCTTTCTCTAAAAGCCTACAGTGATATCTCCCTTCTCTGAACCCTGACTATACTTAAGGGTTAGTACCACAACTTACTATTTCATGAAAGCGTTGTTTTCCTTCCTTAGTTTGACAGCAACCTATGCAGTACTTTTTTGTGTGTGTGTGTGAACTGAGTGAAAGTTTACATGGGAAAACATCAGCTTTACACCATCCTTTCATTGCAATGATTACAATTTTCACAATGCATCATCATTCAACAATATTTGCTTACATTCCCTCTGTTGTTTTTTTGTTTGTTTGTTTGTTTGTTTTTTTGGGGGGTGGATGTACACGAAATCACTCAGGAATATAAAATAATTTCAATAACCAAGGGGCACACTCTGCAAGCCTGCCTCCTGGCCCCTATGCAGTACTTCTGCATCTCCTACAACAACCAGCAAAGTACAAGATACGTGGTGCATGCTAAATAGCTATTGACAGACTGAGTTATAATTTATCAGAGACATTAGCTCAAATACAGAAAGGTGTAGTCCAAGTTCTAGAAGAAAAATGCCATTTGTTAAACAAGTATTACAGTGAGTATCTATCATGGACTTGACAACACTAGAGACACAACAGTACCAGAGATAGTACTAGAAACACAACAGATGGAGACGTTTCAATTCATTGGGAATATATTATAAATAACAATTTAAGTCACCCACATTTTAAGTTATAATCTACTGTGATTTGGATTCAAATTCACTGGAATCTCTAATACTGAGTTCTAAAAGTTCAGTTCTGCCACAGTCTTCCTTTTTGATGTTTTAACAAGATAGTCAATAAATCTTTGATGCATTTTTCCTATTGTGCTCTAAAACTGCAATAAAAATATCAAAAAGGGAAAGAAAAGAAAAAAAAAAAAAAAAGGAAATGTATCATAAGTTGGTGGAAGATTTTCTAAGTACCTACATGCTATAATATGGAGCTCTAGTAGCGTAGTGGTTACAAATCGGGCTGCGAACCACAAGGTCAGCAGTTCGAAACTACCAGCTGTTCCACGGGAAAAAGACAAGGCTGTCTGGTCCCATAAAGATTTACAGTCTTGGAAACCCTGTACAGGGTCGCTATGAGTTGTAACCGACTCCACGGCATATACAAACAACAACAACACATGCTATAACAGCACAAAGTAATCAA